TTGGCGCGTACTTTCGAAGAGTTGGAGAACAACGAGCCGCGTCCTAGTCTTGGAGACCGACGGCCCACGAGTATGTTAATCATGCCTGGCCAATTCCCAAGTTCGGCAGCGGACGATGAACATTCAGACAGGCCACATCCGAGCAGAAGGAGATCCAGATCGGTGCCTACTTCGTCGAAAGCTTCTTCCGGCGCACAGTCGATGTCTCAATCGGAACTCGCTCCTTCTCGACCTACAGGTGGATCTAAGGATGATATAGACCTCTCGGAGAAGCTCGACGAGGATACTCAATCGCCTCAGGTGGAAGGCAGATCTGGTCTGCATTCAACTGCAATCGGCGCCACTGTTGCTACAATCGCCGGCGCGCTGAACATAGAGGCAGCAAAAGCTCTCCGGAGAGATCGACCGAGCTACGAGTTTACTTCGCCAGTTCCGGCTGAATCTACCAGAGAAGAACGGCTGCCAAGCAACAGAGCAGATGACTTCGAACAGACACATAACCCAGTGTCAGGGATTGGCATGGCTGTGGTGGAGGAAGAGTCACAGGAAGCTGCAGTCGATCCGGAAGACCTGGCTTTGAGCTCCAGCGATGGTGAAGGAGACCAGGTCGGAAACGATCACACCAATCCCAGGGATTCTGGGTTCAGCGTTGCTGGACCCGGGGATGCTATTCATGAGCATGAGCAAGAGGATGCCACGGATGAAGGAGAACACCTGGTCGCACACAGCTATGACCCTAGACTAGCTCAAAGAGAAAGTGCAGCTGATAGTCGAACTTCGAGGTATTCGAATCTGGGATATGCTACGATCTTCCAAACACCGGATACAACAAGTTCAGGCTACAGCAATGCGAATTCTACCGGCTCATTTGTGCAGGGAATGGCGCCTTCCCAGAACCCTGGTGTTAACTCAACTACCACAACGCCAAGCACAACATCTACATGGCCAGCAGTCATTCCAAATAGGGGATCCTCCTTGGACCATCAAAACACCGAAGGTGTGCGAAATGAACCGCGAGTCCCTCAACATCCCCCACCGCCCTATCATTCAGCGGAAGACCAAGAGGCGGCGGAAAACCCACAAGAGTTACACTCGCGATATGCGACCTTGGGCATGACTACGCAGAACGGCCGCGCAAGAAGCGAAAGCGCGAACGGAAGACCATCGACATCAGGTTCTGGAACAGTTCGACGGCAACACATTCGGCTTCGTTCAGATAACGAGGAAGGGTGGCCACGGGAAGACTTTGATAGAACGAAAAAGAGTCTTGATCTCCTGATTGACAGCAACGAAACACTCCATTATACTCTGACGCCTGCTTCTGCCAATGTGGTATGTAACACCGTGAAGTCTATCTTGCAAAGCGCTGACATAGTTTACAGGGAGGAAAGTTCAAGGTGAAAAGCCAGACGCAGGAATTGGCAGATTTCTTCCGAACCACCGCACCTCCGGGAGAAGAAGTGCGGCCGAAGTCATCTCGTTCTGCAAAGGATGGCCTCCGAGCAAACCCTACTAATTCAATTTCAGCCAAATCATCTCATCCTCAAATGCCTAGCCAGCAATCTACTCCCTCGCCTTCTAAGCCGAGGAATCGTCTGGGTGAACCGCGTGAAGCACGGATGGTGCGAAACAATACTCGAGATCTTGCTGATTATGCTCGTTCTACCGGACCGGAAAATGATGCACAGCTTCCGAAATTGCTCGCCGCACGTCCTGCCACCGCTCAAGGCGCCCGGTCGGATCTGTCTCTTAGAGAAAAGGTCTTTGGAGTTGACAGTGACACCCGTCCTAGCACAACATCTGGGAAGTCTTCGACTCGGTCGAAGTACCAGGCTCGAGATGCTAGAGGGCCTCGAACGGCGGAAAGTTCTGATTTAATTGACTTTATCAGAGAAGGGCCTCCACGAGCTGCTGGTGAACACCGCATTGATAGGAGCGTGGCCCCGTTTCGAACAACGATGGATTCTGACGATTTGAACGCGCTGGCACCTCCACCTGAGCTCGACACCAGGGGACGTAACTCTGATGGCAGTGCTCAAGAAAGTGCAATGACGGTCAAATCAATGCCCTCATCAATGAACTCACGCACTGGATTACTGGAATCTACAAATCGTGCGGCCGGGAAGTTCACGAATGGGTTTGGATCCTCTGCAACTGCGATATCGAAACAACCCGTCATTCCTGAGACGGATGGCACGCCCAAGAGGACTCGACCGAAAATCCGAGATCCATACGCAATTGATTATTCTGACGAGGAGGAAGAAGACATGGAAGAGGCGTATGAGCCGCCCAAGCGACGGACCGATGAAGAATCACTTGTTGACTTCCTGAGGAACACTGCGCCTCCTCCTGGCATGACGACTCAGCCCATTCTTGCTGCAATACCCGGCCCTACTCAGCCGGATCCCGCAAACATGATCAGACAGTCTACTAGCAGCTCCAAGCTGAAAGACCTTCTACCTGGTGGCTCGGTGTCATCAGCCAGGAATAATCCACATGCAAACGGGAACGGTGCAACACCCAACACAAGACCAGTCAACATTGCGCGCGCAGAATCTCCACACTTGACGCAGGTGGGATCAAAATTGGACAAATACCGGCCTACAACAACCACACATGCTCCGCATGTCGAGCGAAACAGACAGAAAATGCGTGTCCAACCGAGAGATGCCACTACAACCTCGAATGGTGGCGGCACTGCAGATCTGGCTGCATACCTGATGAACTCGGGGCCACCACCAGGCATGAATGAGAAGCCGCCACAGAAGCTTGGAGGTGCAGTGCAAAAGGATCAAGCAGGGTTTCTGAAATTCTTCCAGAGGAGAGCAAGTGTGAGAAAGTGACCAGGAAAGTGGACGATGATGTGATGATAGTCCAGAGGTATTCTGCGTTATGCACTGGGTACCCGGGACGTGACAAGAGGTAATGTTATTCGATGCTGTGCTGGAAGGCCATGTATATTGGAGGAGAGGCCAAAGGAATCAAAATCGCCAAAAGATCTTTTTTCTTCTCTGATGAAGCTGGATAGTCAGATACCCAAACAATCTATTTTGCCATGTAGATTAACAGTTAAGGACGCTCGGAGATCCTGTCAATATACACAAATCTTTGTCTTATGTAAAATATCCCCTTTATTGCAAGTCGCGTGCTTCACTAATAAGATAGTGTCAACGTGTCCGGCCAGGGTTTGTTGGAAAAGGGGCTGCCTTCTCACCGCCCACGTGATTTCAGTTTTGTACACAGTTTCTGCCACTCCTGAACATTGAATGAATTTCAGTCTCCAGGTCTACCAATTCTGAACAACTTTCTACACGCTTTCTTCTCGCACCCTTGCAATCCCCGTTTTCTCACTTCCGGAGCCGCAGCGCGGCTTTGGTTTGTTTTACGTTTCAGTGTTCTGTTGTGCACTTTGTCGTCAACCAGAGCGGCTGTCCGTCGGCACGATGAAGCGCCTCGCGGTCTTCTTCCTCTCCCTCCTCCTATATCCTTTCCTTTCCTCGGCACTGAAATTTGACCTCGTGGCCCAACCAGGACACAGTGCCAAAAATGAACGGTGCATACGCAACTTTGTCACAAAGGATACCCTCGTCGTGGTCACGGCCATTGTGAGCGGGAGCAGAGGCGATGGACAGATGGTTAATATGCACATCAAAGACGCAGTAGGGAACGATTACGGTCGACCCAAGGATGTTGCGGGGGAGAAGAGGATGGCGTTTACAAGTTTGGCGGATACCGCGTTTGATGTATGCTTCGAGAACACGTTGACTGGTCGATGTGAGTTCCCCTGTTATCCAAGTCCATCATGTCCGGTAGAATTGCAATATGAGGACTAACAAGCGGATGTAGCTGCTGTTCCCAACCCCACTCGCCATGTTGAACTCGACATCGATATTGGCGCGGACGCTCGGGACTGGTCCGCGATCCAAGCCAACGAAAAGCTCAAGCCCGTGGAAGCGGATCTGCGAAGAATAGAGGAGACAGTCAATGAGATTGTCCAAGAGATGGAGTATCTCCGAATCCGGGAACAAAAGCTACGGGACACCAATGAGAGCACGAATGAAAGGGTCAAATGGTTTGCCTTTGGGACGATGGGAATGTTGGTGGGTCTCGGAGCGTGGCAGGTTGTATATCTGAGGGCTTACTTCAGGTTTGTTTTTCCCCTGTCATATGCTGCAGTCTTCGACCAGTGCTCACATGTGTTGTTCTCCAGGTCGAAGCATCTGATCTAAACTGCTCCTCGAGTGGATATGCAACTCACTCTACGATACTAGAGTCTCATGGTATGAACGGCTGGGAAGGGAACATAAAAGCTCGTGGGAAATCGAGATGGTTGTGTTCGCATGTGCCATTGTATGGGGACTCCCAGAAGTACCATCTTGTAATCCGAAGAAAAATCTTGAGCCACTTACAGCAATGGCCGGATGGCTTGCTCTTGCTCGCCTGGCCTGAAAAAGCTGAGCCTGCCCAGGGTGCATCGGTCGAAATCACCAAGAGCGAGTTTGGAGCTCAAGAGGTGTAAGTATCCTATGAAGGAGGCTTTACCACTTTGCTCAACCTAAAGCGTCAACTTGGTATCTCCAACCCCCCGAGACATACAGTACGTTTCAAGCCACTGGATAAGGTGAGGAAAATTTGCGCACCAATCCTCCAATGCAGTAACCACCCGAATTCAGAAGATCTCGTTATACTGCTGAATGGCACGAGAGATGGGTTGTCCTAGCTGTCCTGTATTCTGTAGTCTGCCTCACTTTGAGGCCGCGGGGCCGCGAAATATTATCTGTTTGTTTGCTGTGGAAGTATCTTGATGGGAATCTACATACTGCCCGATCCACCTAAAGTCTCTCTCATTACTCTCTTCTCCTGGTCCTTCTTACTCTGCACCTGCCACGCGATTGCCTCTAGTTCGCGACATTGACACTCCTCTTTCCTCCGACGCATGTGCTCTTTCACAGTGAGCTGAAGAACTCAAGGTCACATCACATCCAGAGACACTTGCAAGCATGTCTGACGGCGACAATCCAACGTGGCAGGATTGCGACGATGAATTCCCAGGCAAAGACCCCGGTCCAGTAGTTGGCAAGGACAGTTCTGAAGGGTGAGCTGCTTGAACATCGCCAGAGATAAAAAATCCCCAGAAACTAACGTCGTCAGCACCGAAATCTACTCTTTCGCAGATATTGTCCTGATCACGGTCGGCAAGGAGAAGGTGAAATTCGGGGTCCACAAGGAAATATTGGTGTCACAATGCTCTTTCTTCGACAAGTGCCTTCGCGGAGGTATGAAAGAGGCACAGGAGAATGCAGTCACTCTCTGGGACGACGACCCGGGGGCATTCGGCGTGTTGGTCGAGTGGATGTACACCAGTCGCCTGGACGACTTGCGACGCCCGGGAGGTGTCCTGGTCAACGCATACGTTCTCGCCGACAAGTATGGCATGCCCGCTCTTCAGAATGCCATTGTCGATCGCTTCAGGCTGGCCAACTGGTCGGGTCTGAGGAATGTGCTGTGGGCTTGGGGGAGGTTGGCAGAGGGGTCACAACTTCGCAAGCTGTTTGTGGACCAGGTACATTATCAGATCGCGAAAGCCCCAGAAAAATACAGACGGGGCAGCACCAATACAGTGGATGCCTGTGCCACCGCATTCGAGGAGATTGTCGAGATGAACGCGGAGCTGACGACGGCGTTGATGTGGAAGATGTTCGACCACAGCGGCGGGACTGGGAGCCGAATCCCTACCAATCCAGCTTCACTTGTTGGCTGCGTTTACCATGTCCACGATGACGGCAGGCAATGCAAGCAAGTCACGACGATACGACAAGCTTTTCCCCTTTTTGATCCTAGGACCAGGCTCTCGAAGATCAGTCGGGTTAATAGACCGACTACGTAATGATTCTCGATGACACACGGCTTGTGGAAGGATCTTGATGGCTTGAGCCAGTCAGGATTGAACATATCTTGCTGTGCTTGGTATTACGGGATACTTTGTAGGGGTCAAGGTGACCAGAAACGCAGCCTCGTCTCGTGGTTGAGAATGAATACCAACTCGGGAGGATATTTTGAACCAATTGTACATATCGTCATGTTGCAGCCCAGCCACAACTTGAACTGTTTGAGGCGCACCGCAGCCTCACCTTCACCACAACCTTAGACACACCAAGGGTGAAACGCACCTTCTCAACAGATATATCCACGAAAAGCCGGAATCAACTCTGCTGCGTTCATGATGAAGTGACTCCTGTTTTCCCTCATCTCATTTGCCTTGATCTGCTTCATTCCCCATAGCGCCGCAATCCAACAAGGATATACTTACCAATGTGTCCGGGACACACTCGTCTGTCAAAAGATTGTCCGACGCCTCGATAACCTTTTCATCTTCTCGTCAATATGGTCCCGCTCAAGCGTCCTGCTAAGGTCAACCTTGAGGATAACCGAGGAAAGAAGAAAAGGTACGAGGAAATACCAGAAACAGGAGAGAAGACGTCGTCTCCCCCTCCCAACTCAAAGAGAAGCCGAGAGAACCCTGTGCTAACCAACGAGGGACTACGAATTAGTTTCGCCGCGGACGACATCATCACCGTCAGTGTTGGGCCGAATAATGTGGCACACCTGGTGCACGAGAGCGTGCTGTGTAAGAGCATCTTCTTCAACAAGTGTCTACACGCGGGAATGCGCGAGGAGGAGGAAAAATCCATCACCTTGCCAGAAGACGACCCGGAGGACTTTGCCGTGATCGTCCAGTGGCTGTACTCGGGCCGGCTACCCAACGATCCCAAGTGGCGGGACATGGTACGCGTGTACATCGCCGCCGTCAAGTTCCTCATGTACGACCTGCAGAATGCCGTGGTGGACTGGTTCCGCATGAAGCTGCCGCCGTTGACCCTCGACGCCGACGTTGTCATGCACATCTGGGACAGCACGCCCGAGGGGTGCGAGCTGCGCAGGTTGCTGCTCGACACGCTGTTTCATGAGATCCTGAAGACACCGGCGAAATTCAAATTGCCCCGCGATGCCGATGGCGACGACGACGGCCAGGGGAACATCGTGAGGGATCGCCCCGTCCGTGTCCGCACCGAGCAAGACGGCACGTCTGTGGCAGTGATCGACCGGGTCATGAACAACCCGCAGCTGCGGTTGGAAATGTTCTGGCGCTTTGCCGACCCGGACGATCGTCCGCCGAGAGAGTATTTCAAGATCGGAGGTTGCGTCTACCATGTCCATGAAGATCGGCAGAAGTGCGATAGAGACGACGGCGAGGACACGACGGGATCTGATCAACCTTAGCGTCCTCTCCGTGATGATATCGCCTCTTTTTCCTCGGTTCATTTCGCCTCTTTTTCCTCGGTTCATTTCGCCTGGAAAAGGACAAGAAGAGAAAGGAACACATTGGTCATGGTTGTATTCACATACCTGGGTATCTATGGATGAGCTGGCTCTCGTTTTTCACCCACCTCAATGTCTCCGATAACACCAACATCAGTACCAACGTCCAACCCTCTCGGTCGCTCTCGAAGATGCTCAGTCTAGAGACCTTCTGTCCAGACAATCAAAGAGCGCAGCATCCATCCGATGGACTTGATTTAGACTGGGGACTGCCTAGGTACCTAGGTATACAGAAGAGGACAGGGCAGGAGGATATGAGTGAGTGAGCGAGTTGTTTTTAAACAAATTCCTTACCAGGGTGTTTCGGGGACACTTGTTTAGCGATATGGCGATTGTTTCTGTCGGAGTGGTTATGGTTGTGGTTATGGGATTCACAGTACATGCATGCATGCGACAAGCAGTGTGCCCAAGCAGTGTAGCAAAATAGCGGGTTCTTTTGTCCCTCTTTTCTCTGTCTCTATGTCTCTCTTTCTCTTTCCCCTTTCATCTTTCTTGCCTTCTTGTCTCCTTACTAACATGGTTCTGGAAATCCAGTTGCCGAAAAATATCAATCGCTCATGCGTCAATCGCTGAAGTCCGCATTCTGCAGATGACAAAGGACAAGGAAAAGGACCCAGGGGGGTAACGATCTATATAGCTTACTTGATAGCTTGCTAGCTACCTAAAAAACCCCCTTTCCCTTTATCCCTCTCGGCTCAAAACCACTCCTTCTCCTTTCATCCTTATCTTCATTTATTCATTGTGCTCTGCTCTGCTTTGCTGTCCTCTGACCGTTGTTCTCTCAATAGCCTTACGCAGCGCAGCCTTGGTCGAGATGGTGAATGAAACCCCAGGAGACATATGCGCATGCATATCCATGTCCATACCCATTCTTTGCAACCGCGAATCGGCGAACCCGTCACGTCATGTCACGTCACAGCACAGCCCTCTTCTTGTTCCTTTCTCCCTGATTCTGCTGTTCCTGCTGAGCACGGCGTTTCAACTCTCTGACCATGCTCAACGCGGCGCGCGAGTAGGGGAACCTCTCGAGGGCGAGCTCGGCGGATGACGACCCCTCGCCGCTCGACTGCCTGACGGCCCAGCGCGCGGCGATGCCCTGTATCATGACGCCCGTGCGGAACACGGCAAAGGCGTCGGACCACGCCATGTCGCCGCGGGGGTCCCACCCGGCCACCTCGCGGTACCAGTCCAGGCACTGTTGCTTGGTGGGCAGGCCGGGAGGGCTGGTGGCGGCGTCGGCACCGGCAAACGCAGGGTGCGCGTGCGTCTTGATGTCGGTGAACCCCTGTGTCACCGTCCACGGCATGGTCAGGTTGCTTAGGTCCGAGAGCGGGTGGCCGACTGTGGCGATTTCCCAGCTGTATGATACAGATGGCCCCCGCGGCGATGAGGTTCGCCGCGGATACCTGGTTAGCCTTGTTTTTTTCTCTATTTCCTTGTGTATGAATATCACACAGTTTCTTCTCTTTTGTATGTGTAAAAGTGTGTGTGTGTGTGTGTGTGTGTGTGTGTGTGTGTGGTAGAAAGGAAGTGACACAAGGCTGTAACTCCAAGGAGGAAAGGGATACAGTTCTACAGCCAAAAACCGGAAGGGTTGTTCATGCTGCGCATAACAAACTGAAAGAAAACTCACTCGAGAATACCAATAATGACGGGCTTCGTCTTGTGAAACACCAGGTTATCGATCTTGTAGTCGCCGTGGGTGATGGCGCCGCGGTCCTGGGGAGCACTGCCTTGGTCCTCGAAAAAAGCCACCATCTCGTCCATCCCCGGAATCCGGCCCACGGCCTCGCCCGTCTCGACGTCCCGGACCTGCGAGTACGACGCGTCGAGCCGCTTGAGCGTGCGGATCTGGCGCGCGTAGAAACCGCGCGGTTGGCCAAAGTTAGCGGCGCCGGTGGTGGTGGTGTTGGTGAGGCCGACGGCGGCGGGGTCGACGCCGTGCAGGCGCGCGAGGGTCTGTACGGCTTCTTTCCACCTTTTTCCCCGTGGGTATTAGTATCAGTAACGGTATCGGTGTCAAGGGCAGAGTGGTGGTGGCATAAGGTTCATAGGTAGGATAGAAAGAAGGCCATGTGTTCCCTGATCACTCCCTTTAGGAAATAAGTGAAAACAGTACGGCAACGTACATAAGACTCCTCTCCTCCGCCGACACCCCGGGGATATACGCCTCCTTGAAGATTCTCCCGTCCAGGAACTCCATGATATAAAAGGGCGTGCCGACGACGCCGACGTCCTCGCACAGGCAGTACGCCCTGGGCACGGGGATCCCTGGGGATTGGTTGAGCGCCGAGATGACGCGGAACTCGCGCTCGACCTGGTGCGCGGCCGTCGTGAGCAGTTTTCCGGGTGGTTTCTTGCGCAGCACAAAGTCGCGGCTGTGCCGGTCTGTTAGGCGGTACGTCGGGTTCGATTGGCCGTATTCGAACTGTTTTTTTTTTTTCATTAGCATCGTTTCTGAGTGTGGGAGAGGGAAATGAGGCGATTGGGGAAGGAAGTGTGAGCAGACGAGAGACGAGGAAGAGAGAGAGAGGAAAAGGGAGAGGAGAAAAGCGAAGGGAAGGGAGTCCATGAAATGTATCGTGTCCTTCCTCCCCGCCTCTCCTCTGCGTACGTGGTACATACAGTACATACGTACCTGTCGGATTGTAATGGGGACTTTGATCTCAGGGACATGTTGTTCGAGATAGCGTTCCAACGACGCCTTGTCGATCGGCTGCCTCATCTCGTACGAGACCTTTTGTGGGCTGTCCTTATGGACGATCAAAGAAATAATGAAGGAATTGAGGGATCAAGGTCAAAAAGACCTTGTACTTTTGTTTCTCCTCCTCTCTGGTCCTGGGCTCACTTCTTCTACCAGCAGCTGCTGCACGATGGAAATATCCAGGATCCTTGGCTAAAATGCCTCGGATCTTTCAGTCTAGCAAAAATTCCAGTGGCCCCTCTTTGGCCAGAACACGCGAGAGATCTGGCTGGACGTCTGGTTACGGTGGCTGAATGGGTTGTTTGTCAGAGACTCTTACTGTGAAGCGTGCTATTATACCGATATAATAGCTACAGGATGAAACTGGACACACCCCAAGACAAGGGGTAATCAATCACACAACTATATTTATTACCTGCGCCAAATCAAGAACTACATGGGTATTCCTGTACAACTTCCAACCGAGTATGCTGCAGCTTCCATCCAGCATCTTTGTGTATCTACCAACACGAAATACATCAATCGAGTTCTGTGAGTACCTTATGCACAGGAAAAGTCGATCTGTCAATTAAAAGTCGTCGTCGTTAGCCAATGTCAGTCAAACCAATCACGCCCTCGCGCACTCGTTCAAACAGTGTCGTCGGCCGTCTTGAGATTCTCCGTAACAACAGGTGCCGTGGTCTTCTCGCCACCATGGTCGTGCGTGACGACAGTGTGGGTGACGTGGTCGATCTCAATCTCGCGTTGATAGATGGCCACCTCATCGGCATCTCCAAAAATGGCGGCAATTTCTTCAAGGGGCATACCCTTGGTGTCCGGGAAGAAGAAGAGCATGATGATTCCGCCAATCGTGCCGGGGATGATGAATGCGAGGTAGAATTTCCACCCAACGGTCCTGTCCTTTTGGTGAGTAAAACGGTCACTCAAGGGGCTAGGGACAGGCTTACTTGAAAGCAGTTGGGGCAGCTTGGAGCCAGATAATGTTCATGAGCGAGATCATCGAGACTCCCAGACAGACGCCCTTGGCTCGGATGTGGCTAGGGAACAGCTCATTGAGGTAGCTGAACTGAGTGCCTGAATCACAGAAAGTCGTTTAGTACCAGCCTCTTAATACGCAGACATAGGACAGACATACCATCGAGGCAGAATCCGTAAAAGATCTGGAAGATGTAAAACATGGCCACAGCCGCGAGAAGGGCTGATTGATTGTCGGATGGCACGAACTCTGCCACCAGAGCGGCCTCGATGATAAGCGTGACCATGCATCCCAACACTCCGAAACCCATGTAGAGATTCCGAGGGAACCGGTCTACCAGGGCCATTGCCATGATGTTGATGCCGAGGGTGAGGGTGAGCCATCCAGCAGGATAGAGTAATTGTTTGACAGGACTGAATCCGAGGTTGGCATACAATGTCGGGCCGTAGTCTTACGCACAAAGTCAGTTCGGGTGTACCCAGAAATTCCTCAAAAGAGACCTTACTGTTGATGACCAGCACGCCAGAGCACTGAATGATGCTGGTAGTCCCGATGGCGAGCAGGCATCGTTTTCGGTATGATGGCTTTTTCAGCATGTGCATCCACGAGTTACCCAGGGTCTTGTCGATGGCGATCTGCTTCTGGATCTGGTAATACTCTGCATTCGCGAATTCGTTGTCCGGGTCGTTGGGATCAGAATGCAGTTTGAAGAGGATCTCCTTGGCTTCATCGATGCGGCCTTGCATGACCAGCCACCGGGGCTAGAGATTCCCATCTGGTCAGTTCTCGATTCATCCGCACGTTGGACGATAACATACCGACTCGGGCACCCAGTAGATGCCACACAGCAGGAACAGAGGCCAGGCACACTGAAGAGCTAGAGGAGGTCTCCACGTATCCTCGCCTCCATCCCAGAAGTAGAAGCCAAAGCCAACCCACCCTTGGATGGTATAGCCGAGAATGAGAAAGACGGCATGGACGTCAACCAGAGCACCTCTCAGATCGACTGGCACGACTTCCGACATCCAAATCTAAGTAAAATCATGAGTCAAGGACATGTAACAGAGAGAGCGGGAGAATGGACAGACCGGTACGGCTGCGAGGATCATAAACGCCCCGGCGCCTGCAAAGAATCGAAAGAGCAAGAACTCGCCAACATTGGTGCTGCCGGCTAAGAAGGCCCCCGAGACGAGTGCAATAACTGCTGGCTGTACCAGATGGTCAGCTTTGCGCAAACACCATGAATGACCAACAACTCAGCCTTACCACGACAATGGCCCATTTACGGCCCCATCGATCAGCAACGTAGGGCAGCAACCACGTCCCAATAGTACCGCCGGTCTGGAACAGACCGTTCATAGTACTTATCAGGTCTGTTCCATTGCTTCGGGTGGCGAGATCGAAATACGCGATGAAAGATGGTTGACCTGGTGAGTAGAGAGGGTCAGTTTCAGCATCAGAGCTCAGGCTGAGCAGGATGATACGAACCCAGGGTTGTCCCAATGATCGAGGCTGTGTAACCATAGGTCAATGACCCAAGGCCAATGAAGCACAGCAACAACACATTGTACGCGTTGATCTTTTGCTTCTTGACGCCCGCAATATGTGGCATTTTGGGCAGCTGCTGGCAGTGTACAACTGGGTGCTGCAGTATTCCCTTGATCCAGTCAAGTCGCGCTCGAGATTGATGAGAGACTTTGCCCGAGGTTTAGAGCAGTACTTGTATATGAAGCTGGGGGGGCGGACTTCCCCAGGCGAAGGGCTTCCCGCTCTAGCGGTCCCACTTGGTGTTTGGACGGTGCTTGCATAGCCTGTGCATGGTGCTCCCTGAGATGCATCCGCGGGAGCGGGCACCTGTGGGGAAATAAGTGTCTTACTCTCTGGGTGCGAGTCAGACTGATCCACCCGGTCATGGGTGTCCGTGAGTGCCCATGGGTGCCCATGGGGCGGGGCGTCAAAGAATCGAGCGAGTTGCATATTGTTATCAGCGTCAGGGCTTCCTGACATCCCTGCCCGTGGACATCGCCAACGCGCGACTCGCCGCCCAGGAATTGGCCGCCATGCAGGAATTCATAAGCGGAAGAGTAGAAGGCCAGGAGGATTGGGAGTCTGTGAACTTGTGAAGACTTCGGTTGCCGCCCATCTCGCGCTCTTCCCGGTTCGCCATGTCTGAGCTCAAGCTGCCGTCGTGGAAAGATCTGCCAGCCGTAGAGGGCATGCCACATGGCTGCGCTTGGGGCCTGTTCGACAAGGATGGCGTTCGAGACGAGATAGGTACATTGAATCTCCTTACACCCGAAGCGGTGATCAAAGCCCGAGAAGAGATCCAAACCGGCAAGAGTGTTGTTCTCAAGTACGTCGAGGTACCTCTGGTGTGGTAGGGCTGAAGCCTGATGACCGCCCTCTGTTGACTCGCATAGTTGGCCAATTGACCACGTTCATGAGCCGGGATTCGACCGCATCAAGCCGACCATTAACATCACCGACTGGCGGGCCAAAGGGTCTCCTTGGTATTCATACGACGATGAGATTAGCATTAACACTCAGTCGGGGAGTCAATGGGATGGTCTAAGTATTCCACCCATGGAATCCACCACCCTTGTCAATGCAGTGAAGCTCACACATGCCCTTGCCAGGACACTGGGGCCATAGCGGGACGGGATTGTACTATAATCGCATACACCATGACGAGCTCTTAAACACAGACCGTATTGGGATTGACCGTAAGTGACACCTGGGACCTGTTTTGACTTTTATTCAGCCTTGTATTTTGACCTCGTCCTCGCAAGACTGGAGCAAGCGCGGAGGCATTGTCGGTAGAGGCGTGCTCCTCGACTATGTTGCCTATGCGGCTCGCCACAACATTACATATGATGCTATGACCCGTCACCGTATTACCCTGGACGTTTTGAAGGACATTGCCAAAGAAGAAAACGTGGTCTTGCGGCCCGGGGATATCTTGCTTGTCAGGTCGGGCTGGATCAAATGGTACAACGAACACTCCCCGGAAGAGCGCGTCGCCAAGGTCAAGAACGGCTCCGAGTACGTGGGAGTGGATGGGTCAGAGGAGGTCGTCGAGTGGATTTGGAACTCTCATTTTGCAGCCGTTGGTGGTGATGCCATTGGCTTTGAAGCGTGGCCACCGCAGCTCCCATGGTGTAAGTCCAACTCGGCGAGTCCTCACTCTTTCCCGCGCTGACTCTCTTGTATCAGGTCTTCACGACTTCATTCTTGCCCTCTGGGGAATGCCGCTCGGGGAGTTGTGGGACTTGGAGGCATTGGCGGCCGAGTGTGAAAGGCAGCAAAGATGGAGTTTTTTCGTCACCAGCTCTCCACTGAACACTCCAGGAGGGATTGCGAGTCCTCCGAATGCGATAGCCGTGTTCTAGGAGGATGGATGGAGGAGGTCTATAGGCTGAACCTAGGTCGTAGCTAAAGCAAGAGAGTAATTTCTCTTCAACCAGTACTCGGTATTGTTTGAGAACCCTTGTTTGGTGCCTTATTGTGGGACGTTCCTCCTAGGGGCCAAGGGGGGGCCAGGAAAGTTTGACAGTGACAGCCTCGTGACCCCCATCTGGGGTACCTTCAAGTACTTCCAAGCAATTAATAACTAACTCCAGGCCATCCCTGACACCCCGAGCGCCCCTAGGAACCTGCCGAGTCGTAAGTATCCTCTTGTACCACGGGCCGCACGGGGAAACAAGAAAACCGTCGCTCCAAGTGTGGGTTCGCCTGAAGCTATGGAAACCGAAATCCGTTTCCCTGGGATTCTTGTTTTTTTTTCGTTTCGAAACCCAAAAAAGTCAGCGTGTCACGAGTCAGGCAGTCTATCTCGTTCAGCCTAGGTTCATGAAAGCCCCTCACGGAACGCCACATGAACGATGAAGCACGCAGATACCGAGGAATCTGGTCATCAAAAGGTCACCAGGTCAGGATGAAGAGGTGGAATTTCTAATATCCTCGGACAATTGACAATTATCCTTTCGCCCGGGACAGAGGCGTCAAGTCTTTTGTCGTCCACTAGGTCACCATGTCGACAGTCACAACGCCAAAGAGGCGCCTGGAGCAGCTCAGCGGCCAGATTGCCCAACCTCCAATCATCGATGAAGGGACATACAAAGGAATGCCCCGGGTTGCCCGGAGGGCTGGAGATTCAGTAGGACAGTGAGTTCCAAAGGCCGAAACCCCATCCACCCCCCTGGCGTACCTCGTTACGAGTATTCGTACTCGTACAGCCCCCTGGTCGGGAGAGACACGGAATAGATCTGACGAAAGAGGAATATGCCAGACGCACTCAGGGTAAAGTGGTCATTATCACGGGATGCAACTCGCCCCTGGGTATGGGCCGAGCAACGGCGCACCAGTTTGCCAGGAATGGTGCTCGGGCAGTCTACATCTGTGACTACATGGACGACTACCTGAACCTGCACGTGGAGGAGATGAATGAACTCTACCCCAAGGTCGCCGTCCATGCGCGAAAGTTTGACGCAGGAGACGAGGCCGGGGTCAAGGCCGTTGTGGCCCATGCTCTCGAGACGTACGGACGACTCGACGTGTTCTTTGCCAACGCCGCAAACTCGGGCACCTGGAAGGAAGTGTGGGACATTGAGGTCGAGGAATTTGAGCGGACAATCAGGACGAACTTGACCAGGTAGGTCCTCGCGCCACAATCTGCTCCCACATCTGATCGCAGACACGAACAATGACGGGACACAGTGTCTTCCTGGCCATAAAACATGCCGGCCCTGCAATGCAGGTGACCAGCAAAGACAAGCCCTACTCGAGTGGTTCGATCATCGCCACCTCTTCAACAGCCGGTCTCCGCTCGAACGGCGGCAGCACAGATTACAGCGCCGCGAAGAGCGCGGTGGTGAATCTCGTGCAGACGGCCTGTTTCCAATACGCGGGACGCAATATCAGATGCAACGCCATCGCGCCGGGCATGACGCACTCTGGCATGACGGAGCCGGTCTTCTACGGTCCAGCCCGAGAGAGAGGCACGCTTCACAAGGTTGGGCAGCTGTGTCCTCTTCGACGAGGTGCCGTGGCCGACGAGATTGCGAGGGTCGCGCTATTCCTGGGCTCGGATGAAGCCAGCTATGTCAATGGCCAGGTATGGGCCGTGGACGGTGGGTTGAGCTCTGGCCTGCCCTACAAGTTGGGCAGTATGGCATAACTGATCATTATCACAACGCTATAAACGATGATCAAATACAAACCAAGTAACCCGTGAAATATATCCTGCTCTGACGAAAGCCCATCACATTTTCTGGCGCACTCCTGCTCTAAAGTAGAACCCCCCCTTTGGGCTCGCGGTTCGTGTTCATCAAAGCTTCGGTCTCGACGTGGACAGCTTCATCGAGTCCCGCTTCGCCCATTCCTTCATGACTTTCCTCTGAATCTTGCCGCTCGGCAGACGAGGGACCTCAGGGATGAACGCGACGCCTCCGACAAGACGCTTATGCTTCGACACACGTGGGTTCAGCCACTCCTGGACCTCCTTCTCGGTGACTTTCCCGCGAGATTCTTCCTTCAGTGCCACGTACGCCCGGGGCCATTCGCCGTCGTCAAAGGTAACGCCGACCACACCGGCATCGGCAATGTCGGGATGCTCTATCAACGCGGCCTCGATTTCTGCCGGCGACACTTGAAGGGCCTGCACCTTGATCAATTCCTATCGCGGTCAAGTTAGCTGATGGGTGTGATAAAAGTCGATTATCGTCGTGTATCATACCTTCTTCCGATCCACGATCGACATCCATCCGTCATCGCTCATCACGAGAATATCACCGCTCTTCAACCATCCAGTCACAGGGTCGAAAGTGTCGAGCGTCGCTTGCGGATTCCTCCAGTATCCGAGACAGACCTGTGGGCCGCGAACGTAGAGCTCGCCCGCCTCCCCTATATTCGCCTCCCTGCCATCGTCTGTGATGATCTTGACCTCGGTATTGGGCATGACAACTCCCACAGAGCCAGTCCGGTGCTTCTCGTAGTACGGGACGCCAGACACGGCACATGTTGTCTCAGTCATGCCCCATCCCTGCGTGATCCGAACATTGAACTTCTTTGACACATTGGCTTCCAGCTCCCGTGAAACAGGTGCGGCACCACACAGGATCTCCTTGACGCTGCTTAGGTCGTAGTTTGCCGTCTCTGGTCTCTTGTCTAACATGATTAGGATCGGGGGAACGGTCTGGAGGCGGGTGATCTTGTGGTCTTGGATGATGCGAAGGTACTCGACAAACTCGAATTTGCTGATGATGAGCATGGGGATGTGGTTGATTGTCGCCATGAGCATGCCATAACACTGTCCGTAGGCGTGGTAGAGAGGTAGGAATCCCGCCCATTTCTCCGAGGGTTCGAAGTCGTAGAGAGAATTGATCTGCTTGACGTTGGAGACGACGTTGAAATGAGATACGCAGACGCCCTTGGGCAGGCCGGTGGTGCTGAGAATCTCGTGAGCTACAATACGCAGACTTGGTCAGGGTCAATCCACATACCCGGACGAGAAGTTGATTGCCGCAGTGGTCTTGACTGCCTCTTCACCCGGGAGTTTCCTCCATTGCCACCGCTCTCCCTGCTCGGGAGTCCCCAGAATGACCCTCCAATCCGGAAGACCATCGACAGTTCCTGTCTCACGGTCCGAGAAGACATACAGTCTCATGCCCGGAACAGCTGCTTTGGCGGCGGCAGCCTTCGCGGTCGATATCAAGGTGGGATGTACAAGCAGAACCTTGGGCTGCAAGACTGTGATCTGATATTCCAGTTCTGACCACCATCCATGAGCTTCATGTTTCATTTGGACAAACCATAGCTTTTCACAAGCTCTACCCACCTTTGGCAGTGAACGTTGGGTTTGCACCGGAGAACGCAGCACCAATGCCCACCACTCCGAAATACGATACTGGGACCATGATATGATTGGGCGTGAAGAGCAAGCATCTATCTTCGAACCGCACGCCTAACTGCTCGAGACCATAACCAAACCGCTTGGCCAAAGCCAGGGCACTCTTTGGAGAGTTCCAATGCGATGTGTCCGCAGCATCGATCCAGAGAGGCTTATCCGACACAGGTCGATCGGCGGGGAACAGAAAATCCAAGATGCTGCATTTCTGCAGGGTCAGAGGCGCGATCTTCGAGGCGTGAGGCATCTTTGGCGCAAGCAAGCAACGGGAAAGAAACAAGGATCAACGTCTATCACCCGCTTCAGCACGAACACATTTGGGGGAACGAGCATGAAGGTCTATATCAAGAGGCACATCCCGGGAGCCCATGTCGACCCATCTAGCACGCGCTGTTGCCGTTGGGGACGCACCAATAGCCGATGCGACATGGATCGATTGCCAGCAGTAGAGATACAGACTGCGCGTAGTGCCTCGATCGAGCAGCTAAAGGCACAAACACGAACGACGTCGACTGCATCGAGGTCGCGGCCACTCTCCGGAGCCCTCACTCCGGGCTCCGGATTGGAGACCATCTCCACAACTGAGCAAGTGTAGCACAGCTGCTTTACCTCGGCCTTCCATTCTAGGAGACTCGCAGGACTCGTGTCAGGCTATCCGCGGGCTTGCAGTGTTGGTTCAAAACTGCCAACAACAGCCTCATGCTATGTGGATTCTGACTCTCACAACTGTCAAGGAGTCTCGTACAGCAATACGGAATCCCACACCATGGCCACCATCCCAGACCACCCGTCTCTTGCTCGGATCCCCCCAGGATACCGGACAAAGCTGAGCCCCAAAGCAGTCGATATCATTGCCAAAGTATACGATTGGGTTGAAAATGAGTGCATTCCGGCAGACCACATTGTCAAGGCGCAACTGGAGGAGAACCGGTGGGCGATGCCGCCCTACATCAAGGAGCTGAGAAAGAAGGCAAAGGCACAAGGCTTGTTCAATCTCTTCCTACCGAACCACTTCAAGGAAAGCCCGGGACTCACGATTCTGGAGTATTCGTGCTGCTGTGAACTTCTTGGCCGAGTTTACTGGGCTCCAATGGTAGGGACCAAGGCGTTCGAGGGATCAGGATGGGTACTAACAGAGTGTCCAGACACTCAACTGCCATGCGCCAGACACCGGCAACATCGAGCTTTTGGCCAAATACTGCACGGAGGAGCAGAAGAAGAAATGGATGCAGCCTCTCTTGGACGGAGAGTGCTTGTCTGCCTACTCGATGACAGAACCTGATGTTGCTGCCTCGGACGCAACGAACATTTCGTGCCGTATTCGACGTGAAGGCAACGAGTACGTGATCAACGGTCGGAAGTTGTATGGGAACTGGATTGGAAATGAGGATGTCAGGTTCTACATCCTAATGGGGTGCTCTGATCCAGACAATCCGGATCCGTGGAAGCGCCATTCGACCGTGATTGTGCCCAGGGACACTCCAGGACTGAAGGCAGTCCGGTACATGACAATCATGGGCTATGACTGTGCCCCAGAGGGACATGGTGAGTATGTGTATGAGAATGTAAGGATCCCCGCGGAAAACATCATCTTGGGAGAAGGGCGAGCATTCGAAATCGCTCAAGGTCGACTTGGGCCGGGGAGAATACACCATTGGTGAGTTGGCCTCCGAGTGCATGCTGCCTTCAAACTAATGCTATCGAAGCATGCGCCTGCTTGGTCAAGCTGAGCGCGCATATGAACATGCACTCATCAGAGCTACGGATGTAAGAAAGAAGCCCCGGGGTAAATTGATTGGTGAGTTCGACAGCAATATCGAGCGGCTTGCCGACATGCGCATGGAGATCGACGCTCTTCGCCTGGTTGTTCTGAACGCCGCAGAGACCATGGATCTCATGGGCAACGTCGCAGGAAGATACGCCATTGCCCAGGCGAAGATCATGGTGCCCCTAGGCGTGACCAAGATTGTGGATGAGTGCATGCAAATGTTCGCTGGACAAGGACTCACGCAGCACACATTCCTCCCTGAAGCTGTAAGGCCACCCTCCCCTCTCTCTTGTCTAGAATGGGCGGTTCCCCCCCTCATACCCCCCAACAACTCATGACACACTTGGCGAGGAGCGGTCTCGACTCGAGCTAACGATTTGGGCAGTGGACGTACGCCAGATTCGCTCGGATTGCAGATGGGCCAGATGCTGCTCACAAGCACCAAGTTGGGCGAGATCAGCTGAAGACTGCGGCTGAAGTCAGGTCGAAACATCTCGGGTACAAGAACAGATACCATGAATTGGCAAAGGAGTGGGGAATGCCTGCAACGGAACGCTTCGAGTATGTTGCGCGGATCGAGAAGTTGTAACCTAAGTGCCACAGAAGCACGAGCAGCACCAGCCACCCGCCAGCCAGAAGGGCCCGGGGCACTACAAGGTAGTCGTGGTGTCATTCATTGTCCCACCCGTCAATGCCTAGACCAGTGATAAATGTCACGTAGGGTGTCAATTACTGCTAAAGGCAATTGACTACCTACCAAGGTACCTACTAAGAGAGAATCCAGACTGAAAACTGAATGTAAAAGCCCCCAGAAGAAAACCTCCCTGTAAGCGTGGTGCAGCCATTGACGCCCTCACCAACACCCCTGCTGGGTGCCTGGAATAGCGCCTATAAGCCTCCCTATAAGGATGCCCACAGTCGTAACTATCTGGGTCCTTATCACCACCCCCACAGCCATCACAATGCCCCGAAACGCCCCTCCCAGACGCCTCCTGCAAGGCACCCAATAATTGCCTCGCTGCGTTCCCAGGTGAGTGGGATCAACACTGTTCAAATGATCTTTCGTGTCTCGCACAACGGTCCTCCTTCGTAGTCTAGTACCATTCTGACTAGTCGCCTCATTCCAAAAGAGTCGAGCCGCAGGTTTCGCCCCGTTGAGAAATTTCGCTTCCTTTCGCTGGGGGGCTTTTGTAACATCGCTTTGGGTTTAGATGACACCTGGCCGAGGTGAGGGAGTTTTGATGGGGATCCGTGATGGAGGGTCAAGATGGTCAAGATGGTCATGATGGCATGTGCCGAGGGTTACGAGCCAAGCCTTGACCGCCCCGCGTCCTTCTTCCGACTTCTCCAGAATTCCCCCCGTGTGCTAAATCCTAGCTTCATCTAGTATCCCATTGTCCAGGACGCTCTCACCATTGAGATATCAGAAGAGAAAGCATTCTTGTCAATACAGCCTCAGTCAGTGATGGAGACCATGACCAGCGAGATTATGCTGCCCCTGCAGCTGTCGACAGGTCCGCCGCTATCAGTCCGCAAGCCCAAGCAGATCAGTGACAAACGACGTGACAAGAAACGAGTCGCCGACCGACACTGTCAGCGCCAGGCCCGAGCTCGCACAAAGAACAAAATCGCCGAGTTAGAGTCTCTGGTAGCACATCTGACGAGCCAGTCCGGCAATGAAATCTGCAGAGAGCTGAGGGAGCAGCTCGAGAGCGCGCGGACTGAATGTCGGTCACTCAAACGCAAACTCGCGACGATATATTCCCTAGCTCAGATCAACCTGGAGGAAGAGTCGGATGAACGTCACGACGTGGAGGGGAAGGGTAGGTTGCAACCAGCAGCAGCTTGGGGGATATTGACCAGACAACTAACAAAAAGCTCACCAGAACGCGCCGACTCCTCCCCATCTTTTACACTGTTCAACCAGCCTAGATCACCTCCGGTGGCCGTGGACGACCTCCAGGTAGAATCCAGCAACGACGCTGGGCGTCAATCGCGTGGACCTGCGTGCAACGTCCACGGTGAGGCTGAATTCGGCTTTGCCCTCGATGATAGCCTCAATTTAAACTTTCCGGATGCCATGTTCGATGAGCAAACTTTCAATCCGATGGGGTTAGGGCCAACACCACTTGAGATGGATGGAATGTCCGGCCCCCACAGCTGTAACACAATCACCACGACCGCGACCGCGACCACTTCGATGCCTCTTTCGTTTCCCGAAAGTGGGTCCTCGTGCACGTGCTCACACCATACTCATCCACACAAGCAGTCAAACATGTGGGCGTTTGTGAGCGAGACGTTGATGGATTGGAAGACGCACAACTGGCCTAAGCTTCAGAATGAAGACACTACTGCCGACGATATCGCCGTGCGCGCTGTTATCGAAGGCTGGACTGAACCTAGCCTGGTCAATTTGACTGCTTCGTGGCGCATTTTACGGGAAGTCGACGAGAAAGTATGGGCCAACTCCCGCGACGTCGATCGCCTGGCCGTCCTCTGCATTATGCATTTACTGCTCCAGGTATGGCTGTCGCCCCACAATGTGGTTACCGATGTATCTGACTTCAGAGGACAGTGCCACCTCAATCCTTCAGAGAAAAATCAGTCCAACCTACCTGCGTGGTATAGGCCAAGGTGACACTCATCCCCGCTTCGACCTCTTTCTACCTGCTGGTAACGACGACGCTGACTAACAACAGACCGTCGCAAGTGGCTCAGAAACATGCATATGCCATCGACTTCTTCGTTTGGTAGGTGAAGACCGAGAAAACCCCTTCAAGTCTTCCTTCCACACCAACATGGTCTGATCTCTTATCTCCTAGGCCGGGAATTCGTGAGCGATTTGTCTATCACTACCACAAATACTGTTCGAACAGGTTCTGGGCACTCTTGGCTCAACACTTCCGCTTCGTGTGGCCGTACGATCTCCGCGACTGTTATGTACACAATCGATCGACGAATAGATATCAATTGTCAGACTTATTCCGGCGTCATCTCAACGACCTCACGTCCTTCACCTTTGACAAAGACATGTTTGGCAACTACCCGGAATTCGACTGCGACATACCAAAGTACATGAAAATTCCGACAAGTCTGACTTTGAAGCAGCTGGGCAACGAACCACACAGGCGGAGGTACAATGAGATACCAGGGAACCAGAAACTGATAGGATTTGCTCCTATGCCTGCCACTAGCCCTCCAGGGCAGTGGTTTGTACCCCCCGACGATATGACGAAAAGTGTTGGCTCCGTATTGTGGGGCCAGCCGCTGCAGATGAATCAATTTCTATAGGGTCAGAATGAACAGGGCGTGGTATAGCGAATGTGGTCGTCTGGGGTAGAGCGCGAAATGGGAATTTGACCTCAGGTTGACGGAACTCAGGGCGTTTGCCGCTATAACGCGGCCTGATGATAATGTACGGCCCGAAAAACGCCTCAAGGTATCTTCGAGAAGGAGCCTTTATTGTATTCAATGCAATCTTTGACCTTTTAATCTACACGAGTGACTGGTGTATGATTTACAGACCTCACGGTATTCACTGAGCAGAATATCCAGCTACTTCGCTAACGTCGAAACAGACTCTGTCCCTACTTTGAAAGCGATTTCTCTCAAGCATGTTTGCCGGAGGCCCCTCATACATGAGATATTGAGAGCCGTCCACTTTGTTATGCTCCTGACACTTTCATGCCCTCACTTCTGCTTTCCTTCGCTGCATTTCACGTCTCCTTCACCAGGGGCCAGCTATACTCAACATTCCACTCAAGGGCACGAGTAAAGGCTCACATAAAATCGTTCACTTCGATCACCTGTCACCTTTCACCTTTCGCCTTTCACCTTTCTTTCCTTACACCACCTCGAAATTGGCAGGCTGCAGAAACTGCGAGATCTGCCCTCGATTCAACAACTACACTTGTTGATCTGCCTCAAGGCTCAGACGAAGAGGTAAGCTAAAATTCTCACACGATGCAGTGCTCGAAAGGCGGGTTATATTAACGCCACGATCAATAGGATCGAGGATGCAAGAGACTGGGAGCAGAGAGGGTGGGACACTGGACGAGGACTTTGAGGTCGATAAGTGAGTCCTTGTTCTCCTCACTTTTTGGAGGCCGCTAAGTTTTCCAGCATTTACACAAGCCCAGTCGTCAAGGTGGTTGTTGGATCGCTAAACCAAGAGTTTTACGTCCACAAGAGGCGCATGGCCGAAGTGAGCCCCTTCTTCAAAGCTTGCCTTTCAGCAGGGATGATGGAACAGTAAAACAACGAGCTCGTCCTCTCAGACGATCCATGTAGGGCTTTCAGATTTCTGGTCAATTGGGTTTACAACCGCAGCGTCCCAGCCATCCGTAACGAAAAGGATGCGATGTCAGCCGTTCAGGCATGGACACTTGGTGACAAGTATTACATACCAAAGTTCCAGAATGCTCTTTCTGATGAGCTTCGAAGCTTTTGGGCAGGGGATTTAGTTCACCCTCGCACCTTTTTATGGCTGGTCGAGAATAGCGCCGATGTGACCGCTCTCCGACAACTTGTTTGCGACTATCTATCCTATGGCCTGGTACATTCGTCCTCGATGTACAGATATGCTTGTGACGAGGATGAGGTGGAGTCTCCGAGTGCCGACGGTTATGCGAGGGCGCTCAAGGACTTACTAGCCAATCCCGAGATCGGCCTCGAGTTGTTCTGGGCTACAAAAAATCTGAAAAGAGGAGGAACAGATCCAAAAGACTCTGGTCGGTGCTATTATCACGTTCAGGTCGAAGGCCAGACTTGCGTGAGGTAAAGACGAAAGAAAAAGTCAATCTGTTGAAAAGAGGTCGGATTAGATGGGACAGCTTCGGAACCAGGACCGTGCTCAAACTTTGAAGTCCGCACAAGCGAGAAGAAGCTCAATAGCATGGACCTGGGACCTAGGGACTCAAATAATCCAGTTGAATATGGCAAAAACGAGTCCTGATGTTTACGGAAGGGGCTCCGTGACATGTCAGGGGGCTAATGCAAGGACATGCATCACATATTGGACTATGAGGGACAAGAACACCACGGCAACCGTGCTTGTCTACTCGTTGAGAGCTGGATTTCCTCGATAGAAAGCGGGATGTCATTGCCCCATTTATTCCTGCCAAGCTGTTTTACAAACGATGTGAATGGGTTGATAATGGTTGGATTGGGTTGAGCTGCGAGGATTGATGAGGCAGTGAATGTTGAATCGACAGTGAATAAAGTAAGTGAAGCGCGCAGTGAAGAATGCCACTCTTGACTATTTTACGAGGTACTTGGGTCGTGGCTTCCTCAAGTTTTCCGCTTCCTTGAGTACTGGATTCATTCCATCCTCCTCCTCCTCTTCCTTCTTTCTTTCTTCTTCTTCTCCCACCCTCAACTCAGTTTCGCCTACAATATTCCAGTCTCAGCTGTACAGCTGTCATGGATATGGACGACACAGACTCTCCCTCTATTCAGGGTCAGGCTTCCTCTTCCGCCATCATGGACACTCACGACTCAGACGCACTCTCTACTCAAAGCCAGGCTTCCTCGACAGCGACTTTAGGAGGAGGTGAAATACAAAAGTTAGTTGCAGCTCGCAGATCTTTTTTGACTGCCCTAACTCAAGCATAGCTTTACCAACTCCCCTATCATCACGATATCAGTCGGCAAGGAGAAGACAGCGTTCAGAATCCACAAGGACAGATTGACTGCAGACTCCGTGTTCTTCAACAAAATGTTGACTTCTGGTATGGCCGAGTCGCAGACAAACGAAGTCTCCTTGCCAGACGATAGCCCTAAAATCTTCGGTGAATTTGCGGTCTGGATTTATCAACGCGCAGTCAAGCATCACTCGCATAACAACCATCTCATGATCATGAAATGCTGGATACTAGGAGACAAATACGGCGTTCCCCAGTGGCAGGATCAGCTCATCGAAGATCTCGCGGGGCTCTGGCGTGAGCCATTTCGTTTCCGCTTCGACGAGCTTTCTTGGGTGTTGGAGAATGTGCGCCGTGGAAGTGCGCTTTTCAGATTCGTCATGGACCTCTTTGCGTGGAAGTTGAGACAATTTCCGGACAAGTACTTTGCGAACGGGAATGTGGCAGAAGAAGTCAGTCAGGTGTTCTCGAGGCATAACTTCCCCCTGTCAGCTTTCCTCGTCTCTGCATTCCCACTCAAGGGACACTTCAGCCGACCTCCCGATTGGATCGACCCTTACCTTGTCCGCAATGAAGGAAAATTTGTCCCGTTACATATTCAGAAACTCCGTGAGAAAGGACCAAGACCCCATGGAGTGTAACAGCAAACTTTTCGAAAAGTTTTTCGACTATGGGGATGCTTAGTGAGATTGAGGAGAATGCATATGAACGATCGGGCCAGGGATATCCAAAGAAGATGAAATACAAAAGCAAAGGTAGGGATTGACAAAGTGGAGCTTTAGCAATCAAATGCACTAGCAGGATTCAATTCATGGATCGTGGATGCAGAGGATAGCACAGGTTGAGCGGGAAGGTCCCACCACGGCATGTAAGCTTAGGCTTGAGACAATGGTTGATGATATGTTTTGCCGTGGAGTTAAAAGGCGCTTGACCGTGATGGATAAGTGAATTTGAACCTCAACACACCTGACACAGCACAAGATATGCCTCCTCCACGTCTCTAACCGCAACAGCAAGTGTTGCTTCTGCTCTTTGTGTGAAGTGAATGACGAGTAACCAACAATAACACGGATTTACCATAGACGTCTAGGGTTTATGAGGACAACAAGACAATGCAGCATCGCAGTTTCATATGAACCACGGAAGTAACATAACCAGAACCCATACCACTGTCTCTGCCGGGTATGTGCCCTGCAGTAATGAAGTTAGACAGACTTGTTTGCGATATATATACACGGTAAAAAGAGGCGCGGGCAATGACCCGATCTCTCTTTCATCACAATTTCATTCTCAAACAAGAATTACACCTTTTGGTGATATACTGACCCTGGTATCTTCCAAGCCTCCCCTCACCTTCACTTGTTTCCATCTCTCTCATCCTTCCAAGCTCTTGAGGCGGTGCCCATTCCAAACAGGGGGAAATTTTGCTGTAACTGAGATTAGACAGAAGTCCCTCACCTCGCCTCACTTCTCCTCCCAAGTACCCTTCCTCGTGTTGTCTCTCCATCGGCCATCATGTCACGCACGAATGAATCTCACGAGCAGATTCCAGAGCCCAATAGCGCTATTCTTGGGAGAGGGTTAGTTATGATCCGACCCGACTCTCTCTACCTGGCCGATCAGGGAAACCCAAATGACTGACCGACCGGGCGCGGTGCTGACTGACTGAGTCAACAGATTCGTCGACTCCCCGCTGGTGACACTCACGGCGGGCGAGGAAAAGTTTTTCGTCCACAGACACATCCTCGTGGCCAAATGCCCCTTCTTCGCCAGACAGCTCGAGTCCGGACCGCTGCGGCCGCCTCTGCAGAAGGAGGAGGAAGGGGAGAACAAGCCGGTAACTGAGGAGCTAGAGTTTCCACACGACAGCAGGGACATGATCGGCCACTTCCTGGCCTACATCTACACCGGCCGGGTGGACTTTTCGCAGTCCGACGACGCAGTCCTCGCCATCTTGAAGTCGTGGGTCCTCGCGGGGGAGCTGTCCATGCCGGACTGGAAGAGCCAGCTCGTCGATCATGTCATTGCGCATTGGGCGGATTAGTAGCTGTGGGCAGCAACGGTGCGAGACTTGACTGGGAGGGAGGCCCTGGACGGTCTGACAATCAATGGTAGATCAGGCCAACTGTGTCGGGTGATCGAAAGGACAGTGAAAGGGATGCGGCAGAGATCTTCGGTGCTCGGTGCTCGGTGTTTTGACAAGTGGGAAACTCGTCGAAGATGTGACAGTATGACAATGGGGGGTTGGACTCGTTGTCCCAACTCATCAGGAGTGCTGAGATTACGTGCATGGCTCAAGACCAATATCAGAGGACAGACGAGGCCTGGGGCTTGATGGATCATGGGAGAGGAAATGAATGAGCTTCAGTCCTTGGCGAACATGAAGGGGATAAGGGGCCTGCAGGGCATCCAACACCACCATTACTTTGACATCTTTCTCTTTCTTCGCTGGGGCATGCATGCATGCATGCATATCATGACCTGCGAGAACGCAGCTGAGCGTCATTTTCACTTCTCAACAACACAATGAAGCTTCTGAGGGGGTTATGATGAACACTGAACACTGAATACGGAGCGAGATCATCGTAGCATATCAAACGTCAAATTGAACGAGGGAACCTCACTCACTACCTTCTTTTGGTAGACCGCAAGAACTGATCGATACCAGATCTGAGGATGTGTAAGGAAAGGACAGGAGAAGAAAGGATAGGATAGGATACTCAGGTACGATAGGCTCAAGTAGGACATCCGATCCACAGCTTCCGTCCCTCGTGTCTTGTGTCTTGTCCCTCTGGATTGTCGTCGGACAGACTTGATAGAATATACATCCACACGAACCAGGTATTCGCTGATCGGCTGACCGGCTGATCGCCAATGCTAGATAGCTTCAGTGCCTCGTTGGACTTGAGTCGTGGAGGTTCATTCACGTTCAGATAGATAGTCCGTGGCCTCCAGAACATACAGCGTCGGAAATATTCACATGGGCATCTGGGCTAGAACGTCACCGAGAGGCAAGAATTTCGGATTGTTCGAAATATAGATCCCCAAGAGTCTCTGGATACGGTAATCGAAGGACCGCTGGAAGGGGTATTGAGTACACAAGGGAGAGCCTCAGAATTGGTATCATGGGATGGTATTATACATGGTGTCCTCGACAGACCTTGTTCCGCTCTATCCCTGTTTCTCATCGGATTTCTGAGCGCTACCAAAAGTAACCTTGCCATCGTGGCCGACACTCGCCACTGATAGTCTCGGCGACGCTGGCGCCGGGGACACAGGCACAGCAGAACCTGACTTGGACAGTTCTGGGTCTGTTGAGCGGACATTGGAGATAGCCTCCTCAATAGCGCCTGCAGGGGTGTCCGCAATCTCGTTCACTTCCTGTGTCGTGAGGACATCATTGACCCTCGCAGCTCGGCTTTGGATCAGAATAGTTGTTGGGCCACTAAACTGTAGAAACAGCCGGTCTCCCCAAAGGGTTCTTCGGCTCCATGTTCGAACTCGGTAAAGCAGGTTCGCAAAGAATTTGTACGTGCTGCTGGTTTTCAAGGTCGCGACAAACTTCGAGGAGGGAAAGAAATTCCCGAGCTGGAGAGGGATTTGGAATCGAGCACTTGAAGACTTGAATCGGAAGGGTAGAGGTGCCGGAGATGGTGATGATGAGCTGTAAGCGAGTATGTTCGAGGGATGAACAATGTATGTCTCTCCTTCTGCAAGTTCAACCGAATAAACTTGGCCGTGTCCTGCAAGCGCTAGCAGTCCCCTCCCAGTGACATTGGAGCTTCCCCAGTATGCGAGAGAAAACCTCGTGTTTATGCTCGGCTTGACGGAGAGCGTGCTGCCAGTCCACGCCAGCAGCGCTTTTCTCTGCGCCAGCTTCCAATCCATCGTACCATCCAGCTGCAGAATGGCGAAGGTGGTCATTGGCGACCTCGTTGCAATCAGAGCATTGGCGGGGGATGTCGAGGTGATCTTTTGGTACAGGAAAGGTATTCCGACCAGAGCACGGCGGACGGGATTGAGAATTCGCAAGGTCGAGATTGTTCCATTGGGATCCCCGGCAAAAGCCACTAGTGTTCCCCGACGAGTATACAACTCTTGAGAAGGAGAGAGGGTAACGGAAAGGAGCGAGTACGGACTTCCAACGACTTCGAATGAGGCGTCTAATAATATGTTAGTGGATGTTTTCTTCGGACAAGGTGTTTCTCTGACCCGGTGTCGCAGCGGACAACGACCTGCTCGCCACATTGATTCTGCTAGTGTCTGTTGCAGGCGTTGCTTGCAGCGAAATGTACTTGTATCCGCCAACTCTCCGTCCAGCGACCAAATGCGCCGGATACGCCCATTTCCGAGGAAACTTGCTCAGGGCACGTAGGCTCTGAGCCGCAATTTGGGGCATCCTGGCGCCAGGTACGTTGGAGATTGTTGGATTCCAACAACAGGGCCTCGGGAACCGCCTTATTGGACTGTAGTGGCTTTCGAAGGTGCGCTTTCAAGTTTTCAAGATGCCCGTAGAAGCTGGTCACGACAAGCTTGGTGACAATTAGACCAAATATGCCAAGACCACGCTAGTGAAGAAACGAGGCTGACTGTCTTGGCAGAGTTCTTTGCTTACTACTCCAATGCTTCCTTCGACCTTCCCACACTCCTCCTTACCAGGTATCTTACTGATTTGGGGCAAAATGCATTCGAATCTTGTTCGATCGGCCAAAGTCCTTACTTCCGCACTTCCGGGCCTTCGTGGCTGTGCTTTCTAGTGGCTTCCTCCAGATGTGATTACGCCATATGTGACTTAGCGACCCCGAACTTCGGTAAGTATTGGAAACCTTGGATCGGGATCACCATACCCCAGAAAATGACTATTTGGGAATTATGATATGGCGTTCCAAAGCAGGTAACCCCTTGCAGCATCTTGCGGCTCTATCGTCGTGAGTGCTCCCAGACACGATGTCCCGGGATGCTATTCTCAGCAATGCAACTTGACCCTCTGAGTTGCACACTTGGTTGGACTACTCGCAGGTGCAACTACTCTATGCCATTGATATCCCAGACACACGGAAACCTACACCTGTCTGGTTGATCCATATTGCCGGAACAACGCCGTTGTCTTCTGTGGGCCAGGAATAGTCGACGACGCAACGAAAGCGGCGTTGTTGACGGGACATCCCGAGAGAAAACATGCTCATCTCTGTTCTTTCTATATGCTTCGCCACTTAGCCACATGTAGGTCAAAGACTCGAGCCTGTGATTCCAGCAATCATGAGCGAAGTTAGAGTTCTGAGCGCCTACTCTCCGAGACAAGCCCATCGTCCTGGTGTTCACTCTCCGGGCGTTATGCACCACCAACTCAGAATCTAAGACAGCTTCCTGTGATCTATTCTTGCACGAACTGTTCTGTGTGCCACTACGGCACTGGAGCTCCTCACACAGGGTAATTATGCTTTAAAAGACTCGCCTGGCACAACACGTACCTTTTCTTTTTAGCATCTCCAGACCTTCTGCTCTACTATCAGAAAGCACCTGAATACCGACCAACGACCAACGACTAACATGCGTTGTATTCGACAAATCATTGGTTCAGCCTTGGGGTATATGGCATTCGTCTTGCCCACCCAAGCTGCTCCTCTCGATACTTCGGCTC